GACGAAGGAGGCAGGCGGCGGCGATGTGGATGGGCCGCGCGGGGCCTCCTGCGGGCTCGGGCGGGCCGGCGTGGTCGGCGACGAAGTGGGCACCGCGGGCGCCATGTGGCACGCAGCGATTGGCCCGGGCAAGCGGCAGACAATGTCCGGCGGCCGGGGACGTGTCCGGCCGCGCGGAGAGGAGCTGGATTAGGGTTTCGGGGAGAAGAACCCGTGGATTTCGGAGGACGGCCTATATATAGGCATAGGGGGAGTTAGGAGAGTCCAAATGAGGTGCGGTTTTCGGCCACGCGATCATGATCGAACGCTCTAGATGATGGAGAGGGTTTTGGTGGGTTTTGGGTCAAATTGGAGGGGTGTTGGGCTGCAACACATACGAGACCTTCTCGGTCCCTCGGTTAACCGTTGGAGCATCAAACGAAGTCCAAATGGTACGAAACTTGACAGGCGGTCTACCGGTAGTAAACCAAGGCCGCTTGGCAAGTCTCAGTCCAATCCAGAAATGTTTAACCCCCACACACAAAAAGAAGGTAGAAAGGACCACCGGAGGAGATAGAAGCGCCGGAATGCAAAACGGACAATGGGGAAAATGCTCGGATGCATGAGACAAACACATATGCAAATGCAATGCACATGATGACATAATATGAGATGCATGACAACGACAACAACACACGGAGACAAACACCCGAACCTGAGAAAATAAAATAACTTAGCGCCGGAAACGGCAAGAGTTGGAGTACATATTAGGTAAATTACATCCGGAGTGTTACAGTTACTTGAGTACTACACATTTCTTTAAGGCTCAACATTCTAAAATTTTGACAATATAACAAATATCCTCTCAGTTTATAGTAATAATGATACGAAGATAAATAATTTGGAAATGGTCTTCAACATGCGTAGGCTACCACTTGTAAGAATAACAGTGGCAAAAAAAGGCCAACAAATGCCGATTTAGAAAGAAAAAAACTGCAGACATGCTTCCAATTTTAGCAACTCTAGTGGATAAAACATATCTTACCTCTCAAGTCAGGAAATAGTCAAATGAAAAAAAGGTACTTCTTATAAGTAGTAGAGATGAAGTCATAAGGATCGTGATTCAAGATATTCGGAGAAACATGGTTGGTCTCTCTGTATGATGTGAACTCGTCACCTCTACCAAAGTGATCGTGCGTAGTATGTAATGTAGAGTGCAATAATGAAATAAAATAGATGATATGAGAATTTACAATGACCACAAAATATCCTACATTCGTCATCATCATAATCAACATGCATTTTTTGCTTCTCTTGTATGTGGTCCAAGTTTTTTATCTGGAAAATATGTTAACTCAACTATAGATAAGGACAGTATGAAAATGCTCATGTAAAATTACAATTGCCATGTATCTGCTGGACAAACAAATACACTTACACAAACTTCAGGTTTTTTTGTAAAACTTACGCGAACTTTATTTTTTTACTAAAACTTATGCAAACTTCTGGGTTTTTTCACGTACTTTCATGACTGCAAGTAAGGGCTTGCTTCAGCGAATTTGTCTGTGAGTTCACTATGTAGTCGTGAGTTGGCCATGTAATAACCGGTAGTCTGTACTTAAAAAAACAGGAATGTCTGTTGCAGGTACGCGAAAATCAGTGAAAAAATAAAGAAAGAAAAAATGTATTGGTTGCCTGAAACCCAACTGTGTGTGCTCCAGCGCGCCTTTGTTTCTCATTGCCTCATCTCTAGTTCGTGTACTTCTAGATGTGTCACCACCGGCGAGGTAGCGATGACATAAAAAAACAACACTCGGTGCTTATTTGATTAGTGCGTGCGCGCGGCGCGGTCGTGTGAAGGCGAGCGTCTCCGTCGTTCAGGCCTGCGAGCGGCCGCGGCGACCGTGTTCTCTCACCAGCTGGGCGGCATTGTCGACGCAGGTGAATCAATCGTCCAGCTTTGAGGCGACGCCCTCCATGCACCGGGGCGCCCCCCACTCGATTTTTTTGGCCTGCTTATACTGCCCCAGGATACTCAGCGTTGCCCCCACTTAAAGGGCGTCGGTGGTGGGTGGTTGTCAGCGTGGGTATTGTGGACGGAGCTGAAGTCGACGTGAATGCCGATCGTTCCCAGAGAACATGCCAGGACGTTAACGAAGTCGTTGCAGTCAGTAGAAAAGTGACCTGACCTCCAGGCAGAAGACGAAAGCAGCGACGTCACATGTGTGTGTTCGGAGGAAGCCGCAGCTCCTCCTCGCGTGTCTCCCACTGTGGCTCACGTGGGTGGTGGGCTGGTGACGGTAGGCGACTCGCGATCGCGATTCCCGAGGCGATAGGATGCGCTCGTGATTAGTTTCCTAATAATTAGATGCGTTCATAATTAGTTATCTAATAGGATGCGTCCGTGATTAGTTTCCTAATAATTAGATGTGTCCATGATTAATTTCCTAATAGAATGCGCGCATGATTATTTTTCTAATAATAATATGCGTCTGTGATTAGTTTCCTAATAATAAGATGTGTTTGTGATTAGTTTCCTAATAATTAGATGTGCCCATGATTAGTTTCTTAATAGGTGTGTCCGTGATTATAGTTTCCTAATTGACCGGACGTGGACTTTCATATTTTCCTCCGCGGTGAAGTACGGTCAGTTAATTTAAATTGCTATAAGTGCACACAGAGAATAAATTAGGTTAAGACTAGTTGTTAGATTGAGTTTATTGAGATTAATCATGCAGTGATAATGTATTCGTATACGTTTTGTGAGATGCATTTAAAAAAAATAATGTTTGTTCTTTTATAAATAGTATAGACATGGCAATCTGGCCACCTATATCGTACGTAGCCCTGCCGTTGTGCAGGGAGTTACCGGTGGAGGAGGTGGAAGCTAGGGAGGGAGGCCGAAGCCGATGGACATAATCGTGGGTCCGGTGGACTGTAAGGAGCGTGTGGTTAGTTTTTTTTTTTTTGATAACTGAGCGTGTGGTTAGTTACCGTAACTGTAGGGAATTGATAATTAATAAGGACATAAATTAAAAAAAAAGTGCCGTCAAGGATGGAGAAACAAATCGATGGTCGTGGAGAAGTCTGATGGAAAGAGAAGATTTGTAGATTACTGACGTATAGAGTTTCCCATAAATAAACTCCAGTCAGACTACAACTCCAATCAAGTACGTATCCGAGAACGTTTGTGTATTGTTAGACGTGATTCCCGTACTTCCATGGACATATATACAGATCCCTTTGCCTCTTCTACTACCGTACTCTCTCACAACCGGGGAACAATGGACACAACCGGCGAATAACTCTATTTCGAGACGGGAGAACACCCTGGTCGACGGATTATGGCTGACGAAGAGCAGAACACGAGGTAAGCTCGTCCACGGAACTTGTGCCGTAAATTACCAGGTTATTCTTTATGGAAAATTGCAGTGTTGATATCTCTGGCACCTATGAATTGCAACTGGTTTAAAATTTGGATGATTGCCTACTTTCTATTCTCGAGCTATATTTTAAGTATGCCAAATTGGTCTCATCGGTTTTCGCTTGTGTGCAATGAGTTTGATTCTACGTGAAGATTCGTGCAAACTTTTTTGTCTTTTTTCTTTTTTCCCCCAATCTAATTAAGTCATTTAGATGTGCAATAACTAGGGCGGAGTGTGTGTGCGCACATATTGTGTTGTGTATTATAAAACATGAAAATTCAGCGCACCAATATATCCAAAGTAAACGCGAGTGATCGAATTGTGGTCTCGTGTATGTGCAAAGAGAAGCCATTAAAGCTGCCCACCGCCGTGCAAAACAAACCACAGGGGAGAGGAGGAGCAAATTTTTTTAATATATTTTTATTTAATTTTAGAAACATTACGCTAAAAATTTATTTTTAAAAATAATATGGATCTAGTCGTTCAGGAGGAAGCTGATTGGTCCCATGTCGGCTATACGGACACCGATTGGGCTCGACCCTCCTGTTAGCCACTGGTTGTAGATCTACGGAAAGACGATTAGACTTTATCGTCCGACTGGAAGGCAATTAGTATTCCTCGTCACATTTTTCCGATTTCTAGTTCCCGCCATAATTTCTCGCTTTCTAGTTCTCGCCATATTTTCTCACTTTCTAATCCCGTCATATTTTTCCGCTATGTAGTTCCCGCCATATTTTCCCACACTGCTCGTGCTACACCTCCGTCACCTCCACCACCTCCACCAATATGCTCAAAAAAACCCTCCAAGAAAATGCTCACCACGAGCTACCCCATAAATAGATCGAGGTCTTCCTTGCCTCCCCCAACTATCTACAACACATCCACGGTGGTGGCAAGTCGGAAAAAAGAGAGGCTGAATTTGATGTACAAATGGGAGTGTATTCGAGTGGGGAAGAGAAGGAACGAAAAACGGGAAGAATAGAGGTGGAGGAAGAGAAAAGGGAGGAGGAGGAAGGAATGGGGAACCTAGTTTTTTTTGAACATAGTACAGACGCAAACACTCACATATACACGCATACACTAAATACAGGATAGATGCGAGCACCAGGACTTGAACCTTGATGGGTTGAGATATCACTGTTCACCTAACCATCCAACCACATATTGATTCACACATGCCAACTAACCTAGCTGTTTGTATTCAGCTTCGCTGTAATCCCCCTGGTATTTTCTTTGACAGTTTTGTAATCCCCCTGTTTGAGTAACATAAAGCTCTTGCCAAGCCAAGAAAAAGAAAGAAGCTCTTGCCAAGCCAAGAAAAAGAAAGAAGCTCTTGCCGAACCAAGCCAGAAACGCAAGCGCCGTCCCCAACCAACCGCCCCCCACCCACAATTCCCGTCGAGCGAGGCGAAGCCGCCGCCGCCGCCGCCTCCTCCACCATCCGCAGCTGCCTCCGTGACCTGCTCCACCGCGCCGCCGCCAGCCTAGCTGCCGCCTTGACCCATATCCGCTCCGCATAGCCCCGCGATCTCCTCTGAACTCCTCTAGGTCTAGGGCATAGCCTCCTCCGGCGCCGCCTGCCCCTGTTCCGAATCAATGGGCCGTCATCGTCCTGTTCAGGATGCTTCACCACCACCTCCTCCTCGTCTGGCTCCCCTTCCAACGCATTGCCAGGTACAATCTCAGCCACCCCAACCGAGCCCCAGTGTGCCTAGCCAGAGAGATACACTTCCTTCTGATTCGGTTGAAACCGGAAAGAGCCCTCAGAGTTATCTTTATGATCCCTCTACTGAATCTCGAGTGACAGTGACACCACAACCAAGACTGGTGTAAGCAACCGTCGTCATCGAGTTCATAATTCGCGCTTTCTGACAAGGGTTTCTAGCAAAATAAACAGTTTATTAACTTCTGTTACTGTATGCTGTTTTTACCAGGGTTTCGAGCAGTGGTCGCTTTTCATTGGAGTCACAGTCGGATTTTAGCTCAAATAGGTGCTATATATTATAAGTTGCATCCAACAGCATTTAGTGAAACCAGTAGTCAGTAGACATAAAACAATTATCTATATTTTGCAATTTTCCACCATAATGTTCTGACCAGTTTTTGTTGACCTACCAAGATTCGAATTACTATCGCTGGAAGAGGACGGCGATGATTTACCGTCTGCTTCTGACTCATCTGGCAGGTATACTTATTATTACCATCTTTCTCAATATTGTCGATATTTAGTTTACTCAAATTACAGTGTGAATGCTATTTATCATTGTTTTCCTCTTCCGCATATCTTTCTTCACCCATTTTAGCCCTCAACCTTGTTGGCTCATTTTAGGCATGGTGGTGATAACAATGATGAACGAGATAGTGGTGAAGGTGCTGTTGTCGCTCGTCAACATAGGTAATTATTTGGTTCTAGTTTAGTGTGAGAAGTACTATGCAGTAATGATTGTTTGGAGCCCCTCACTTTGAGATCGTGGAATTCTGAATGTTTCAGTTAGATCAGGTCTTTTTCTACGAAGTGAGCACTGCAACTAAATCTTGGCATGTCAAATGAAAAATTATTCAATCACTTGGTTGTTATTTTAAACAGCACTGTCCAGCGATTTGCATTTCCTTAGATCTCTATTACTCACCGGTAGTGAAGGAGAAGTGGACTATTCACGTTCATACTTTTATGGACAATTCAGCGCAAAGAAATATTGTTTACTAGGACAGCGTTGATCACAAATTTCGCCCAGGCATGGTAATATATAGGCTGCAAGTTAACAAAGTATGTAACAAACAAGACACTAACTACCTACAAACTCAAAAACACTCCAATTATGCCCACAACCAGATGTTGATCAACAAATGTGGGCAATATGCTTGGATGAAGCTTGGGGCTCATAAGCAAGCACACTGTAAGCTCCCCACGAAAGAACTACAAAAGCAGAAAATGCAAGAGATTAAAAGATAGGATCAATAGATGAGATAAATAATCCAAGATAAACAACTTAAGTGGACTCTTTTTTAATCGGTATTTGATAGCTAATTAAATCGTTTACCTTTGACCTCTCATATTCATCAGCCACCTACTTATCAAACTTGCTTTGTCATCACCTGGTTCCATGTGTAACATACTCACTGAACACGTCTAAGCTTGTGGCAATATCTTGCATTCTCCGGCTTACTTTTGAGGTCAAAGAACTCCGGCTTACTTTTGAGGTCAAAGAACTCCGGCTTACTTTTGAGGTCAAAAGAACTTATTTGTGTTCAAGAAGTGGCTGCCCCATACAACTTCACCTCCATTTGGTTGTCACACTCCTGGTCTGGCCTTGCCCCATCAAACACACATGCATTACGATGGCTCCAGTCGCGCCACATAGAGTATGACGAGCGGCCTCATTCTTATAACATTTCCCATCACTTGGTCAGCAACAGAGGCTAACCATGTCTTGAAATCATCATTTGCGGTCGACGTGATATTCTGCATGCAGTAAGGAGATCAGAGAAGGTTTCATCTTGCTGATCACAGAGAAGTCACCGTGCCTCACTAGCTGGTTAGCAATCCGACACGTTTGCCAGTTCAAAGAAATTTGTATGTGGGACTGCTATGTATAACGGAAAGGCTAAAAATCTGACGTCAGATTTTTACACATGGCAAATCAAACGTTTTTCATGGCAATATATGTTGGCGCGAGGATGGCAAATTTAGTTTGCAAGCACGGCAATTTCCTGGCAAAAAAAAAAAAAGAACCGGGGTGAATTTTCCATGCTCGTCAGCTAAACTTGCCATCCTCGGCAAACATAATTTGCCATGAAAAACGTTCGATCTGCCATGCCTAAAAATCTGATGTTCCCTAGATATCTCATATCTGGGTCCATGTGTAATGGGTGAAGTACTACCAAGTAGTCTTTCTGTAGTCGTCCTGCATCCCGATTGGAACGGGAGCGCTGCCGCTCGATCTGAAGCCAAACGTGCACAGAGGGTTTGACGAAAAAAATATCGAACCGTTTTTCTTCACTTACTGAGGACTGCGGGTTAAATTAGCCAAACACAGGGACTATTGTGTAGAAATGCCGCGACGGTGAGCGGACAGAAGCAATAGCCGCTTTATTTAACAAAAAAAAGTAAAGATAAAGATTTGTCCATAATTCTCTTGTAAAAATATTTGTACTCGTTTATCAATAGGGTGCTTTTATGATTGATTATTCTCCTAAAATTGTTCGGAATCACTTGCAATCTGTTTCAGTTCTAATGATGGTAGTGACAATGATGTGGATATCGGAGATCCTTTTCTTACCGATAGATTTGGAAATTTGACAAGTTGGAGGTTGAGTGATTTGGAGGCAGCAGCAGATAATTATCTTGAAGATGAAGAAAGTGAAACAGAGGTAGAAGAAAAGAAATATTCCAAAAAGGAAATGCTAAAGCGTGATGCGGACCGTAAGAAACAGTACATGGAATATGCTTTACAGAAATATAACAATGACGAGGATCTTGCTGGGGTTTGTGCTCTTTCCTTATAAATTCGTAACTCTTTATTTCGAGCATATTTCCATGTTTTAATCTGAGAAATATTTTCAGGAGATGCGTTTTGTGTTTGATGAAAGTAAAGATGAAGTTTTCATTATTGAAGGAAACATGAACTTCTATGAACACTTCAACTTTACAGCTAAGCAGGCTGGTTCCACTGTTCTATTCTTTGCTGAAGTGATCCCAGACGAAGGAGAACTGTGTGATGTTCTTTGCTGCAAGCCTTTGGATTCTGATGACAATGGTATGCTTTCTTAATTGTACGTGACTACTAGTCATATAGTAGTGCCATATAACGGGTTGCATGAAATGTGCTGCTTTGCATTTACTAATATGTTAGGAACTGTTATTTGATGAACTGCTTTGCCTCTAGTTTGCATAGTCAATCTATTTATATGTACTTGCCGTGCTTGGATTGGATTTGTTAATCTTGGATATATAAAGCCATACAAAGTGACTCCTTAAGTAGTAGTATTACTGTAATTCGATTAATACGAATAGCTGAGCAAGTTTTTGTGTGTAAATTTACTACTGTTGTCTGATGTTTTGTCATGTGGGGATCAACATACAGCAGGTGTGGCGTAGATGGTTAGGTCTCCTAGATCTGCCACCTTACCAGTTGTTATGTGTCTGATTGGTACTCTACTTGATTTGTTCTTAGGCAAGAGCCTTACATAACATTGAATCCCTGTGCGTGTCAAAAAAATAGATACAGTTTTATTTGTATTCGAGTAGAGTCTTGCCTTAAGCCACCCTTCACATAAGGAGTCAATCACCATGTTTTGAATCTGTTATCTTCGGTTCTGTTTGCCGGTGATGACACTTCCGCTAGCGTCTAGTCGGTCCTCAAGCTCCTACTGGTGTGGGATAGGCTCTCAAATGAAGGAGCCATAACACCATGGTATTGGAGAGCATTATGTCTTGGCTTTGTGTTACAATGATCCATGGACGTCGCATGGAGCTCTGGCAGAACAGTAGGGTACTGCCCGCCAGCATCAACAGCAGGTGCAGGAGCGCATCGGCTATTTGGTCACCTGGATGGCACACTTCGGAGTCCATTGCCAAATCTTCCAGTTCACCGCGCACCGGGCTTGAATAAGGCTGTTCCCCTGAATCCAGTTCACCTTTGCACTCTTCCAACATCTAGAGGCAAAAGGGCATTCAAAATACAAATGGTCACGTGTCTCAAGTATCCCCGAGCTGCAAAGAACACAATTAGAATTGGAGTCTAGGTGCCAATATGCCCTCTGATGATTATAAATATCTGGTGTGCAATCTGTCCATAATCAAAGCCAGGCAAAAACCTTATGCTTGGGCTAGCACTTGCTCTTCCAAATCTTGGGGAAAATCGGGTCTGCTTGAAGACCATCAAACAGAAATTTATATAGTAGAAGTTAGCTGCAGGACTTAGCAAAACTAACCCTGAGCCCCGTAGCCTTAGCGAAATCCTCCAAAGTATTCATGAGAATCTGCATCCGACCAGATGAACCATTCATGATAACCAAGGTATCGTCTGCATATTGAACTATAGGAAAATCATGGCCGGGGATGTCAAGAGGAGCAGAGAGATGGCCACTCCTAAAATGATTATGTATCATAGATTATTTTGTTTATACGTTGGAAGCATGTATTTCGTTTTCCAACTTCCTTTACCAGCTGGTGAAACGGGCTAAATCAGGATTCCAGTTCTACTTAACATTCTGGTAATAGTGGAGAACACAGAGTTATATCCTGTTATTCTTGTTAACATTCTGGTAATACCATGAATGAATACCATGCATATGTGCGTGTTCTTTTACTTTCAGGAAATAATAATATGCATTGGGAAGTCTAGGATTTTACAATTCGAAAACCTAAGCATCCACCATATATTATATGAAAAGTGCTATGTATTTAGCGAGATAAGCAAGAGCAATCAATATATTTTCTCTGGCTATTCTCATTTCAGCTCGCTGCCCAATTGTGTAGTCATGCCGTCTATCTTCACACAGTAGCTATGATGTTGTAGACCTAAGTTTTGTAGCATATTGCTAAGTCATAAACTTAATATATTATTAAGATTTATATGCTTCAAATCATTCTCTCTTACGTCATGATATTGAAAAATGAAGTCAATATTTTTGTTTTTGAAGGACATTGCTTTGGTTGTAAGAATCAAGGTTCTGTGGACTTGAGGCATCCAGCTGGCGGAAGTTTGTATGTTGGAGGTCATGTGGATTGCGAGTTCCCATTTATGTGGGATAGTATCAGTGAGTTACTGTAAATCAAGTGACGTCTTTTTTCCCTGCTGTTTTCTTGCTACAGTTTTTCTATATACTGCATATATTTGGTTGTATATGTAGGACATGTATAATACGTCTTATGCATTTGATTGTATGACACATTTTCAGGATGACTCTGACTGAGGGAAGATTTCCTAGATGGCCATAAAGAATGTCTGATGGGGTTGTTGGTCTTCAATTATTCTCACTTTAACGTCCATGTGATGCTACTTATACTTTGAAAGGGCATGTATAACACCTTGCACTAGCTATAATTATACTTTCATAAAGCTTGACTGGGCCCATGTATCTTGCAGCGTGACTGGGCCGCACACCGTCCGATTTGTTTGAGGCAGCATATGCAACCATTCATAGATCCTTTCTCTTGTCTCGTGGTGGTATTCTGTGACCTTTTAGACATGTCTTGTGTGAAAATTTGGAACTATTGACCAGCAATTGTTTTAAATATTTTAATATTTGCGCTCACATTCATAGTTTCGTCTTTGGAAGTACTACTATTAGAGTATTTTAATCTAAGGATGCCACTACGCAGCGGAGCCGCACCAGCGCCTTCTCATGCGGCAGTTCTTCCACATGTATGCAAACTAATACATCAGCGTGACATCAACAAAGATTCCTTTAATTTTAAATATTAAGAAGTTTTGTCTAATACTTTCTCTGTTCGAAAATATAAGTCTTTTTAGAGATTTCAGTATGGACTATATATGGATGTATATAGACTTAGTTTAGAGTGTAACTAGCAAACATGCCTTGTGTGTTGCAATGGGATAGAAAAAATTACCTCATACACACTCTTGAGACATCTGTAAATCTCTTGAAATCTTGCACGATGCCACATGAAAAGCAACATGATAAGTGATGTTGTGTCTAAACATAAAGATGTGATGATTTTTGAAGTGTATTCAAGGTGTTTTCAATTTATAGACAATAAAAATATTTATCTAGTTGTAGGTATTTCTTTATGCATTTGTTGTCGTTCGTCGTCGGTGATGCCCAACAAATATTTGCATACAATGAAAATAACAAAGTATGTTTTATTAATTACTAATAACATATGCATAAGAGCATTATTTTTGTCTTCCTGATACATGTATTTTTATTTGTAATCCAAGTCAAGTCTTAATTTGGTTGCAAACATATTAGACAGCTCCATAGATAACAACCAATTTGAAAGGACATGCATACCAAATGTTCAAGGTTGTGTATCAACATTGATATTCTTAAAAAAATCATTATGAAAACAATCTAAAACAATATGAAAATTAAAGTCAAGCCGCTGGTTTACATAAACGCAACGTTGTACCTTTTTTATACATCAGAAACATTTTATATAGGCACATTTAATACTTCCCAATTTCATGGTCAACATTTTTCAAAACATATTTATTTTTTGTGTCTACTTTTTCTATACACATTCTACTTTTTTGTATACATTAGGAACATGTTTGTTTAACACTGTCCAAATACATGATAATATTTTTGAAAACTTATATTGTTTTATGTCTACTTTGTTCCATACACATTGTATAATACATTTTCCTATACATACGAAACATTTTTCTATGCACATTTAACATTTTTAAATGCATGATAAACATTTTAAAAAAATTGAAAAATTATATGCACTGTACTTTTTTTGTATATAATGGAAACATTTTTCCTATACAAGTTTGTCATTTCTTTAATGCATGATTAACATTTTCTAAAAGTTTTCATATATGTGATTTTTATAATTGAAATATTCAGAGTATTTCAAAATAAAGCCAAAAGAAAAAATACAAAACAATGTTAATTTTTTTGAAAAAAGTACCCAGGTCTCCTAGGTGGAAGAGCATGCGTCCAGCCAGTCAGGCTGGCCATGCAGTTGTGACTTTTGGGGGGTCGTTGCCTATTGAATCAATAGTAACGACGGACTTATAATGAAAAAAAGCGAAACATTTTTCCTCACTTATATGTGTGGCATAGTGGGTACCTTGTGGCAACTTTAGGGGTTAATCTAATGACGGATGCGTAGAAGCAATAGCCCCTTTATTATTAGGTAGAGATTAGATCCCATGTTGACATGTTTCGTCAAAAAAAAAATTGTCGATAGTTGCCAGATTATGACTCACTTGGTTAGATTAAATTAACTCAGTTCCCAACCTTGTTTATATTCTAGTTGTCAGTTTTTAATTGTACTCAAGTTGCCATTTTTATTTCATATAGGTTGCCAAAAAATTACACATTAGTTATCATTTTAATTCTGTCGAGTTGGCATTTTTATTTCAATATATAGCTTGTAGAAATACACACTAGTTGTCAATTTTAATTGTGCCAAGTTGCTATTTTTATTTCATATTAGCAAACATGTCCATGTGTTGAAAAATTACATCTCCTAACCTCATACCTGACGACATTAGCAAACTCCTTAAAATCCTTAATGCTGCCACACGAGAAATGATAAGTAGGTTGTAGTACTGCACTGCACTCTGGCGCGTTGGGGATGTATCTGGTGCACCGGGGCAATTTGTGCTACCGGTGCACCGGTTGCCTGTTGCACATTCAAAAATATTTGAAAAAACCCAAAAAAAATTTAGTGCAGCGATGCAACATGAATGTACATTGTCACAAAATACAAATCAAAATTCGAAACATTGCTCGAGATACAAAAATAACAAATTTGACACTGAATAGTACATAACATAAGTTGGGCTTGAGTTTTGGCCCATTAGCACATTGACGTCAAATTTGTCATTTTTGTATCTTGAGCATTGTTTTGAATTTTGATTTGAATTTTTGTGACAACATACATTGATGTTGTATTGACATACTAATTTTTTTTCGATTTTTTTTGAACATTTTTGAATGTGCAACGGTGTCCGGTGCACCGGTAGCACCAATTGTCTTGGTGCACCAGATACGTCCCCCTGGCCCGTTTGAGTCTGACCGACCCGACAATATGAAAGGCATACCAAGTTTGCGGGAGCAGAGTGAAGG